GGGGGGGGGGGGGGGGGGGGGGGGCCCAGGCCTGGTGCTGCGTCCTCGCCGCGTCCTCACCGCGCACAGAGACGTCTGTGGTGGGAACCAGCTGGCACCCCTCGCTGTTTCCTCGACCGGTCAGCCCCGACTTTGACCTTGGTGCCAGGACGGGACTGTGAGACGTCTCCTGACCCCCTCGGCTCGTCGTGGGTGCCCGTGGGGCTCCTAGGTTGGCGTGGCTTACTGTGGCCCAGTCACGGGGCCTTCACAGCGGCCACCCGCCTGCAGGTGGGAGCCGAGTCCTCGGATGTCTGGCCGTTGCCCTCACGTGGCCTCCCGGGCCGCCGCGGCCCCCATGCAGGCCGAGCGCCGCTGTCTCTCGCTGTCACGTCAGGAACCGTCCCCAGCCCGCTCGCTCCTGCGGCAGATCTGCGTCTGGCAGGCGGAAGGTGAAAAACCAGCGAGTGGGTGGAGGCCAGACGTCCCGTGAACACCGTGTGACAAGGGAGATGTAAAGATGCGGCTGTGCATCCTGTCACGTCGTGCTTGTGTCCAAACAGGGTTGTTGGCACATCTGCGCGCATACTCATGCCAGTTCTGTGTTTTCAGGAGGGGGAAGGTGTCCACACAGAGTGCACACCGACGCTGCCTGGCCGGCTGAACTGTCACTGGGCTTCTCTTGGTTGATTGCAGGGGGAGAAGCCACTGAAGTCAATTTAGATTCAAAGCCTAATCATCCTCTAGGCTTGCAAGGAGGCCGCCTGGTCTGCTTGAAGGTTCCATCACCCCCTGCTTGGTGGCAGCAAGGCCGGCGCGCACAGTGAGCCTGGTCTCTGGAGCCGCTGGACGGGGGCAGTGGGCCCCGTGGCAGCCGCTGCAGGAGCAGGACTGTAGCTGCCGCGAACGTCGCCACGTCAGGCACCGGGGGAGCCGAGCTCCACGTCACCACATCCCCTCGGCTGCACTGGGCCGCGCTCGGAGCATCCTCAGTGTTTCAGGGTTCCTCCTGGCTGAGGCCCCGCCGTCACCTGTGTCCACATCATGGTGACCGAGCAGGGTCCCCGCAGAAGGACGGCCCTCGGGATGTAGGAGCAAAGCCCCATCTGTGGACGAGGGGCCCATCACAAAGAGCCGTGGACCAGCCATGCTCAGCTCTGGCTGCATAAGGTGACAACTTTCCAGAACCGTCCTGTGATTCTTCTGAGGTCTTTGTGTCCAGCAAGAGGCTGCAGGGCCTGGCCTTCACAGCTGACAGCCGTGGCCTCCGCGTCAGATGACACCTCCCACGGTGGCCGTGTGTGTGCGTGGACATCGGCACAGGCTCACATAGGGGGCGCGGCAGGTGCGGGACACCATGGCAGGGCCACCTGCAGGAAGTGAGATGCTGTGCCCCATCTCCCACTGAAGATCTGGGGGTCTCTCTTCAGACCTATGCACGGGGGACGTATCCGTACACGTGTGTGAATATTTGGAACAGCCTGACAAATACGTGAGGACACAGAGCGAGCGCCCACGTGCAGGCAAACGGCCTCTTCTGGAGACACGAGAGAGGACGGCTTCAGACGTTCCGTTGCCGTGAACGTTACCAGGTTCTTGACGCCGACACTGACAGTCCCCACTGTGCGCAGCCCCGGCCTGTTCTCTGCAATTCCCAGAAACCGTGTGAAGCCTGTTTTGGCTTCTCCTGCTGCACGACAGAGCTCACCAGAACTTGGCGGCTTCAACAAACAACACTGTTTGCCGGCCCTCGCGTGTGGCTGGACACAGCCGTGGCCCCCGGGTCTCCTCTGCAAGGCGCCGGGCACCCTCCATGGGCGCCAGGCCTCCTCAAGGCCCAGACTCAGAGGGGCCGTGCCGCACTGGGGCTCACCAGGTCCCAGCCTGCCCAGACGTGGAGGTAGGACACCCAGGGTGTAGACGTGGAGGGTCATCGGGCACAGCGTGACCGCCTGCCACACGACTAGACCACCTCCTTGTCAGACCTCTTACTAAGGCCCCAAAGCCACCAGAGACAGACCCCAGAAGAAAAGATCGCGTCCAGGGTCTCCCGAGACCTTAGCATGGAAGCAGGGCTCGCTGCCTGCGGGGAAGCGTCTGGAGCCAGAGTCCACACCACGCCAGACGCAGGCCGTGCCCGTTTTACGGAAGAGGACCAGAGTCGGGCCGTCGCGGGGCCACTCCGGCTGGGTGGTGCCCAGCGGTCCTTTGGCTTTTGGGGTCTGGCCGCTGTGGCAGGCCTTTGCCGGGGGGCGTCTCGGGTAGGGCCTTGCGGGTCGGGTGTCACTCGCCGGTTGTCCAGCTGGCACTCAGGCTGCAGCCCCGCTGCCCCGGGTGTTGGTCCCAGGGGTTCTGGAACTTGCACAGAATGGACCCTGCTGGCTGGCGTGCTACTCACACCCAGAAGCCAAGACTTGGTGCAGGGGAGACGCTGTGTTCAGATGCTTCTGGTGCTGACCGGGGAAGGTGGGCAGGGAAGGTGCCGTGCGCCCACAAGGGCAGCTGTGGTCGTGGGCGGCTGACCTCTGCGGGTGGGGTCTTAGGGTAACCCTGGGCCGAGACGCCTCCGGGTGTGGGCTCGTGGGGCGGCGGGGGCGTGGGAGCTGCTACCCCCTGGTAGCCCCAGCCTGCGACCTGCCTGGGACTGACCGTCCAGGAAACGGCCCTGACCCCCAGTCAGTGGACGAGAGCAGCGGCTGGGCCGCTCTTGTCCTCAGGAGGCTCATTCTCACTTTGTGGCCTCGGAATTCAGTGATCCTCCCATGCTTCTAAACTACACAGCATCTTGAACAGGCTTGCGAGGGATCACGCTACCCCGGCACCCCTCTGCCGAGATGGGCAGATGGGCAGGGCCCTGTCGGGTGCGCAGGCTCTGTTGGCGTCGGGGCCCAAGGGCCCTTCCCCTCCCGGCTCCGAGCTCTCCCCTTTGTCGGTGTCCCGGGACGCGCCCTCACCCCTGTCCCCGGGGACCTCCCCTCCCTGCAGGGCTCTCCTCGTGGGTGCGCATGCGACAGGCTGGGGAGGGGAGCGGGCTGCAGCTGCTGGACTGGGCAGTGGGCTCAGCATGACCTCTGCCCTCCCTGGCCTTCACGGCCCCAGCTGCACCTCTCCCTCCAGGGCACGGCCGCCTGCAGTGGAGGGTGCAGGGGTGTGCAGGCCGGCTGTGAGCCTTGAGGGCACTGCAGTAGTCAGAGTGGAGGCGTCCTGTGCACGCGTGGGGTGTCACCAGAGAGCCCCCTCGGCTTGGCCTGGCTCGCTCGTCTCTTCCTCCAGGCGCCTCCCCAGGAGGGCTCCAGAGAGTGGGCCCGGGTGGCAGTGGGCACGGCGGGGGGAGCGGCTCCAGGTTCTGGCCTCTTCCGCCTCTTTGAGGACCACGTGTGGCGACGCCACGTGCGGCCGTGTGGGAGGATTCATTTTCCGTATCAGCCATGTTGAGATGTAACTCACAGACCGCACAACTCGCCCGTCTAAAGTCCAAGGGCTTGGGTTGATTCAGAGCCCAGCACACATATCCCAGGACATTCTCCTCATCCCCAAAGAAGCTTTGCCCGCTAGCCGTCACCCGTGTCCTCCCGCAGCCTGGCAGCCGAGGACCGCTTTCTGTCTCCATGGACTTGCCTGCTCAGGACGTCCTGTGGGCCCAGCTCCTCCACCCAGCGAGGTCCTTGAGGTCCATCCCGCGGGAGCATCAGGACGTCACCCTCTGAGGGCCGGAGGGAGAACGTCCTGGTCATCGTTCGCCGTGCACGGCCGTCGGTGTCATTCGTGACGCCGCAGTGGCTCCGTGCGCGGGCTCCCGAGAGCACACATGTGTTGCTCCCCTGGGCGCTCCTGGCGTGGGTGTCGGGCCTCAGAGGTGCCGCAGCGGCTGGACCTTCCCTCACTCTGGAGGCGCATCTGCTGGTCCGCGGGGCTCCGACGGCCCGAATGTGCCACCACGTGTGGGTCAGAGGCAGCACCTCCGCCCTGGCCCTGCGGAGGGCCGGAAACAAGTGAGGCTGCTGGGGACCCTCGGGCCTCCGTTGGTGGCCCCCGCTCAGCCCTGTCCCACGGAGGCAGCTCCTCCCGAGGCGGCTGTGGAAGCCTCCTGGCGGTGGGTGGGGTGGGGAAGCCTTTCTGATGACTCACGCCGCAGGGAATTCCCTAATGATTCGGAATATTTTTACTTCTGGGCTTGCGCACAGTTTCCTACTGAGAAAGCCAGCAAACTCCTGATAAGGCTGGAACACAAAGGGCCATTCAGGGCCGATCGCTTCCCTTCCTGGTAGAGGCTGAACTTGCACAGGACGCCCAGCCGGGCCTGTGCACAAGAGGCGCCCAGAGGCCACATGGCCTCCCACCCGAGGGAGGCCAGGGCAGCTCTGGGGAGTCAGCAGCCAGCGGGGCTGCGGGTGCCGGTGGGGAGGGTCCCCGTGTGAGGACAGAGCAGGCAATCACCAGCCCGTGGCGTCTGCTCCTGTCTTGTCCCTGAGCAGGGCTGCGTGTGCACTTCTGACCAAGGAGACACTGGCCGCTAAGAGCTCACGCTGTGCTTGGGATCCCCAAGGCCAGCCCCTCAGCTGTGACTCAACCACAGAATAGAGACCTCGGGGCCAGAGCCCCCCAGGGCCAAGGTGACGGGGACACAGGGAGCCCTGGGCCTGTGAGTCGGGCTTTAGTGGTGTGGTTTGAAGGGTCTGCACTTTCAGAAACCGTGCCGGTGGCCAGGCCCGGCTGGCTCGCAGACCTGGTGCGCACAGTGGGACCTCCGGCCCCCAGGCAGGTGCTGTGACAAGGATGGTGTCCCAAAGGCCCAGGAAGCCGTGGAGGGAAGAGACCCCTCCCGCCCTGCGTGTCCTCAGCGTGCACACACCACCGCCCGCTCCACTGCATGCGTGTATTTCCCTTAATTTTTGTTCCACAGGTGAACCTGCAACAGCATTCCCGGGAGGCTGGTCTGGTCTCGGGTCCCTCCTGGAGGGCGGGTGGTGGTAAGGTGGACGCCGGGTAATGCTGGGCATCCCTGGCCCCCAGCGGCCTCAGCGTCCCCTCTCCTTCTGATGGGAGGCCCGTCAGCCTCTGTCGACAAAAGGCTGAGCGGCTGCCGACAGTTCAGGTTTTAGTGCTTAAAGCTGTTTTGGGGGAAAGGGACAAAGATAGGCTTTGTCATGAGAAAACTTGTTGATCTTAAAAGGCACCAAGGACATGGGAGGCCTGGTTACAGGAAGAGTAACTTGGATCTCCTCAAACCGGTGGGGGGCCCGACAGTGTGTCCGCATGTGCAGCAGGTCTGGGCTGCGCCACGCGGAAGCCTACGTCCCGTAGCGCTTTGCACAGGCGCTGGGATCCTCCCTCGTTTATCGGCCCAGAGTCAGGGCACTTTGTTCACTGAGTCCTGTGCTCACAGGACTGGAGCGTTTGCTGCTTTGCCTCCTGATGCCTTTAAGGGCGGTGGGTGTTCTTTCCGTTTCCTGTTATTTTTTCCTAGAGGAGAGATGGATGCGGGTCCCGTGGGCCTCCGGCCCATGTCTTATCACTGAGTGGGTCCATCTGGTGGATACTCAGCATGGGCATCTCCGCGTCCTGAGGGGCTGGTGTGGTCCTGGCACATCCCAGCCTCTCTGTGACTCACATTTCCTTTCTGCTCCACCCTCCGCCCCTGCCCGGCCAGCACTGCCAGGGAGAAAAAGGAGATTTTGTCTAATTTATTTATAATTTAGGATTTGGAACACACACACATTTCTTCTTGGAAAACAGAGAATAAGCAACAGCTCAGCCCATCCAGCTGTAGTGGTTTGTTTGGGGAGCCGACTTTATACAAGATGCAGAGGAAGGAGGCCCCTGTAGGAGACTGACGTCTATTAATTCAAAGTAACGGCCAGACGTGGTCCACAAACAGCGTGCCTGCCAGAGGGACTTCCCAGCTCCCAGAACATGGCTCCGCTCCGTCACCCCGGAGGGCGGGCTTCCAGGCTTCGGCTCCCTCGAGGGCCTGGTCCGGGGGACAATAAACCCTTTCTTTCATGGCACTGGAGCCTTTTCAGTTTTTTCAAACATGCAAACGCCACAGGGTGAGGTTAAAAATACCTTGTGTTTTGCATTTCTGTATCCTGATGCGGCAAAGCACAGTCACAGAGAGGATTTTCTTGTTCACCCGACAGTTCCCCTGAGCTGGGGCAGGACCCGAGGCTCCCGGGCCCCTGCTCATTAGAATAACCCTGCTCCCGAGACACCAAGGGCTCTGTGGCCCCGGTCGCGAGGCCCCGCTCCCCCCCTGTACACCGTAGGCCAGACTCAAACCGGGTCCGAGTCCCAAGACCAGCGCCCTTCTTACCCGGGTCATCCGCGCACCTCCCAGGCTCGCTCCCCTTGGAGACCCGAGCGTGGACCCCACCCGGGGCTGGCGCTGGGGATGCTCGCTGGCACGTGGCTCCTTCCTGCAGAGCGGGGGTGTCCAGGCCCCACCAGGTCGCTGCTCTCGGGTTTGGGTTTGAGCTTCCTCCCAGGGCCTCGTGGCCTCTCTCCAGCCAGTCAGTCAGGTGCGGCATCCCAGTCGCACCAGCTGCTAGTGGGCCGGCCAGGCCAGGGTGGACCCTCTCATCAGAGGGTTCCCGCCCCGAGTCCCGTCTGCCTGCATCCAGGTGTGATTTCGGGGCGGTGCCCGGTCAGGACAGAGTAACGGATTTCTCGCGCCCTTTCTTGCAGACGGCCACCACATCTGGGAGATGGAGGCGAAAATCGACGGAGCCCTGTGCAAGCCGGTGAGTGCGGCGGGCGGCCATGGGCGTCGCTCTCTGGTCGGGGCTTTTTATGGGCAGCGGCGCCTGGCCCGAGGCACATGGCTTCTGCTTTGTTAAAACGAACCACTGATGAACATAACAGAGAGAGCGAGGAATAGAAATGGTTGGGAAACGCCTCGTGACATAAGCGCTCTTGGGGCTTGCAGCACGGGGCCGACTCGGATGCGGGGCCACCAGGGAGGACAGGGCGCCTCGTGCGCTGCAGGCCCCCCACCAGGAAGACCAGGATGCACTCATACCCCTGGGGCCTGCTGTCCCCTCTGGCTGCCATCGTCACCAGGGCCCCAGGGGCCCCACTGCCCCCGCCCCCAGGACCTGCTGTCCGGAACCTGAGCGCACCTTCCCCCCCTCCCGGGCAGGTGGGCCTCGGGGTTCCGCCAGCATCCTTGACAGTGACCCCTCACTGCTGTCCTCCCAGGGAAGAGCCAGGACACAGACGCGGGGTCAGACCTCAGTGTGCTCAACCGGCTTGTCCGTTGGCCGGCAGCCGGGGCCCCTGCGGGGACAGGCTCCCGCTGCACACGCCTGACCTCTGAGGGGTCGCTGCGCTGGCCCAGGGCGTACCTGAGCCCATCCTTACGCGCGGCCTCCCATGGCCCTCGTGGTTGTTCACGCACGGAGGGACCTGAGGCAGAATGATTGTTTCTTGAGTTGTCGATGGAGGATGTTTTCTGTCTGAAGTTACGTAGCTGCTGCAGCTTTCTCTGGCTGAGTATTAATATGGCACACCTTTCAGTCTGTGTCTTTGTGTTTTAAGCGGGCCCTTGCAGACAGCAAAGAGCTGGGCCTTGTGTTCTTACCTGCCCTGACAGTCTCTGTCTTCTAGTTGGGGTGTTGAGACCATTGTGTGTGAAGTGAAGGGGCTGGGTTACTGTGCACCACTGAGTGCGTGTGTGTCCTACTTAGTCCCAGAAGAGCAGTAGAAACCTTCAGGTAACCTCATGTACAGGCTAATAGCAGGTGACTTTCCAGAGACGTTCACAGATCTTCCAGGCTCTCTGCCTCGTCCCACCAGCCACTCCTGACGCAGGTGTGTGGATGCAGGGAATGGGGGTCACGGTTCAGAATCTCGTCCGGTTAAGGACTGAATTTTTCCCTCGGGCTCCCTCGTGTGAGCAGGGGACCTTGGGCTGTGGGCTTTGCCGAAGGGGTCTAGGTGCCCTCTGCGCGGCGGCCGGGAGGACACGTGCTGGGAGGAGGCCCTGGGCCTGCGCTCCCTCCGCACGGGTGGCGCCGTCAGGAGCAGCGTCTTTCACCTGCGACTTAAGCTTTCTTTTCCAAGCACCAACCCATTTACCAGAAGGCTTTTCAAATGGTGTCAGAAGGAGATGCTTCCCCCCTGGCCCAGGGGCGACACCTGTGTCCATGACCTCACTTCCCCCAAGGTGTCCAGGCCTCTAACCTCACACGTCCTCTTGGGCTCCTCCTGGCCCCCCCGAGAAAGTGCCCCGTCTCAGGCAGCTCCACTTTCCGACGGGGAACTCTGGGTCCCACAGGCCCGGCAGCTGCAGAGCCGGCCCTCAGGTTTGCTGTGACAGACACCGGCCACCAGCCGTCACCCCGAAACGGGGGCCCTCAGCTCCCAGTTCCAGCCCCACCGCAGGCCCGAGTCCTCTGCCCCCAGGCCCCAGTGCCGCCCACCCCTTCTCCCTGGGCAGGAAGGAGAGGCCTCTGCAGAAGCTATGCGTCTGTTGGCATCGAAATAATTCCGCCAAGTTTGCATGTTCAGATTTTCCGTTGTTGAGTTTCCTTTTCCACTGTGAACAGTGCATATATTAAAGAAAGCTTAACAGTTATCAGTCATGTGTTCTAAGAGAAACGTAGGACATGTGAATAATGATGTGCTTTACAGTCACCATTTCATCTTTCTTATCTCTTAAATGAAGTTTACTTTTATATTTTTTTTTCTAATTATAAAAGAGTGTCACATTCACTGTGGAAAATTGGAAGATATAGCAAAGTATAACCAAAGAAAACGCCTAGTGTAATTTCACCACTTGGATATAGCCACCATTAACATTTGGGCGTATTTCCTTCCATCCTTTTCCTGTCATGGGTGTGTATCTACATGTGCACACACGTATATACGTGTACCTTATGTTGTGTGCATATTTAAAACAAGGTCGGATTGTGCTGTATATATAGTTTATGTACTATTGTGAGCAATTTAGACAACGGGTTTTCTTTTTTTTATTAATTTATTTATCTTATTTATTTATTTTTGGCTGCGTTGGGTCTGTTGCCGCACACGGGCTTTTCTCTAGTTGCGGCGAGCGGGGGCTAATCTTGGTTGCGGTGCGCATGCTTCTTCTCGTTGCGGTGGCTTCTCTTGTTGTGGCTCACGGGCTCTAGGTGCGTGGGCTTCAGTAACTGTGGCTCGCGGGCTTAGTTGCTCCACGGCCTGTGGGATCCTCCCGGACCAGGGATCGAACCCATGTCCCCTGCACTGGCAGGTGGATCCTTAACCACTGCGCCACCAGGGAAGCCCCCAGACAGTGGGTGTTCTTAAAGCAGGTGACATGGATGTACTGAGTGCCGTTTGTGACCCTTACTCTGTTCCTGTCGTGACAGGTTTTCCTGTCACTGCATTTTCCTTCCCACCTCTACCTTACTGTGTATTTAGCATTAGTGCTCCCACGAGGACAGAACTTTGTCACAAAATTTCATAGTTTGTCTAGCATATCAGTCTGTGCCCACATCAAAAACACAGCCCTCCAGCCTCTTAGAACCCACAGAAGCCGACCGCGCGACGTGGAACCTGCTCGGGGCTCCTCGCCCTGCCGGACGCAGCCGCTCCTGTTGATGCCTCCCCGCTTTGCTTCTGGTCTCGGCTTAGGCAAACCCTCTTCCTTTCTGTCTCTTGTCCTGGTTCCTTCTGTAGAGATCGGGCTCCGGTCACCGCGGGCCACCGTGTCTGCCATCGTGGTGCACCAGCTGTGTGCCGGGCGCCAGCGTCACCGGCAGGGTCGCCTCATATCATTGAATCCTCAGAAAACAGCCCCCGAGGAGTGTCTTTCTCTTTCGGTTCCCTGTGCACGTGGTGGAGCTAAGACTCAGAGATGGCAGAGCCAGGGCAGAAACCCGGACCCGTCGGGCCGCAGCCAGGCTCCTGAACACCGGCCGCGTAGCTGGGGTGCAGACTCTCAGCAGGGGTCTGGCCGGGCGCACACCCTCATCTCCACTGGGCCTGTCCCCTTGGGGTTCCTCTGCTCAGGCAGGAGACCTGCACGCTCGTGGCTTCTTCCAAATGGAATGAAGCTGTTAGCACAACAGGGGCCCATTGCCTGACCCAAGTGTGGCCCCAGGGGATGGAGCCCAGAGGGGGCTGCAGCCCGGGTCCCGGCCCCTCCGGCCCTGCCGCTCGTGTGCCCTCAGCAGCAGGCTTCTGAGCCCCATTTCTTCACCTGGAAAGGGAAGAGGTTGCCCTGAAGTTCTCCTCAGATTTCATTATTAACAGGATTCAATCAATTTTGCTGTTAAATTGGGTAACAGGCTCCAGTTACTCTAATTAAAAGAAAAAGGGATGCCATGGATTTTTCTTATACATTTTCCTACTTGTTAACTGAAATCATATGACAAAAAACCTTGAAGAAACTTTCTGGATGTGAACTCTCTCCCCCCTCCCTAAATCAAGGGCACCTCTCTGGCGCCAAGGACGGGCCCTCGTGTGGACGCCCGGTCTCAGCACACGGACCCCAGCCTTGCTTCCTTCTCCCACACGCACGCTGCCCCACGGCGACCCGTGTTTATATCTGTACTTGAAAGGGCACAGTTTTGTAAACGTGTCGCTGACTTTTCATTTAAAACATGGAAAGGTAACAGCAGCTTCCGCAAGCCACCCTGATGCATCCGTGCCTGACTGTCCGCCCCTCCCAAGTTCGCTGAGTCCGACTCTCCCGTCCCCTTCGATTTGAGAGGGTCATGGCTTGGGCTTTGGGCCGTCGGAACCGAGCATCTGCGGCGAGCACTTCCCCTGGGTCTTCGTTGCCAGTTACCTGAACTGCTGCTCCCAGCTTCCCCAGGAGCACCAAGTCGGCGAATGTGGGCTTAGTTTTCTGAAGGTCATGCCTTGGCTTGGGGGCAGAGGGGCGTGGGAGACTTCCCTGCCCGTTAGTGGGCCCGCTCTTAGCATCTGTGCTCACGGCTTCTCTCCCGGACCAAGTCGGTGGCAGCGTAGGTGAAGCCCCCCGCCTCCCTACCTCGCACACACCCTCAGCCCACCTTTCGGCTCTGCTGGGAGGAATCAGGGTCCCTGCAGGCTCTCAGCGTGGCCTCTCTGAAGGGCAAACCTGCTGCGTGTTTCACGCTCCGGGAGGGCCTGGGTGTGTCTGTGCGTTTGCGAGACGCTCACCGCCCCCTCCTCCTGCCGCTTTCTCACTAGAATTCGCTGGTGGTGGAGATCCCGCCTTTTCGCAACCAGAGGATAACCAGCCCCGTCCAAGTCAGCTTCTACGTGTGCAACGGGAAGCGCAAGAGGAGCCAGTACCAGCTCTTCACCTACCTGCCCGCCAACGGTAACGCTCTCTTTCTAACCTAATCGCTGCGAACGAACCCACGCGGTGCTTTTTCTGAAAGAAAATCAGGAGCCCTGACACGTGGTGGCTTCAGACCGTGTGGTCGCGCTGCACGCCTGAGCTGCTACCGTCCTGTTAGCAAGATCACGTCATCGGTTGCTTCCAAAGAAAAGTGAAGCTTTCAGTGTATTTTCCTTTATTACTCTTGGGGCTGGGGGCTGCATTTGGGGATAATTACTGATCATTTTGCTGGCTGCTTGCAGATAATACAACCGCCAAGGGGGAGAAAAGGTGCAGCTCTTCTGTACAGAGAAGCTGAGGTGGCCTTGGTGTGAGTTTAAATTCTAGAGATGTTTAAGGCAGAGAAGCAAATAGTTATAATGATTTTGCAGGTGCCTTTAGAAATAAACCCTTGTATGAAGCCTGAAGGCTGGTGGTTGGTGTGATCATTAACTAACGGTAATGATTTCTGTCCTCGAGCTGACATCCCACGGAAAACTCTTGGTTGGATAATTGCATCTCCGGTGACCAGGAGGCTTGCACTCCGAAACACCCTTTACTCGACCAAAAAGCGCCTCGTCCAGATTGTCCCCTCGCACGCTCTGAGGATGGTCTCTTGGCCTGAAAAAGACCTGTTTACCTTCTCTACTTTTCAGGCTGTTTTCTGAAGGAGAACAGCATCATGTGTTGTTTCGCTTCTGAACTAGTAGAAAGTTGTTTCTCGGTGTTGCTCAGACCAGAGGCCTGGTGCCCGGGGCCCATGCCGCCCTCCTCCAGGCCGGCAGGGTGCGTGTCCAGAGAGGGCCGCGTCCTGATTCACCTGTGTCACTTAAGAACAGCTGTGCCAACAGTCTTGTTATACTGTGACTGCTGTTTTAAAAACTTGAGATTCATATAACCTAGGAGGGAAACCATGCACTAGGACTAATTGCAAAAGCAGCCACGTCATCATCTTAGTAAAAGCAAGATGTTTTCGAAGGCTTCGGTCTTCTCCTAGTGTGAAATGTCACGTACGATAGACTAGGTGATAGAAAGCCCTGGAAAACCCGAGGGGATAGCAAGTAGAATCAACCGTTTTTCGGGCAGACGCTAGCCACGCCTGTCCAGGCTTGAATAACGTGGTCTCGTGCTCATCACGTCACGAGCGTGTACGTGAACAGACCTGCAGGAGTGCGCGTTGCCGTGGGGCCGTCTGTGGGGGACCCCTCCGGGACTTCTGTGATGGGTGCCGCGCACTCCACTAATCCTGCCTGTTCTCGGATGTGGTACTACATTCCTTACAGCAGAAAATATTCAGTCTTTGTTTGGAAATGTAATGATCATGTCCTAATTAAAATTCAAGCATGGTTGACTAAAAATTGAATGCTTTAAAGAAAACCTAGGCTTATAAAGAAAAATTCCTTTCTAAAGCAGTTTAGAAATCAGCTCGAACGTTGTTTCCTGCAGTTCCTGCTCGAAGTTCACCTCCCGCTTAACACAGACGCCTCCAGTCAGAGGGAGGGGGTCTGCGCGCAAACCAGGCCCCCCTTTCACGGGGGGTGCCGAGGCCCCCAGAGACACGTCACTGAGATCCTGGGGCAGGGCTGTCGAGGGGCCACCGTCTCCCCCCATCCCTACAGCTGCCGTTCAGTCCTGCAGGCTCCCTCCCGCCAGGGGCTGACCTGCCCCCTGCTCCGCACCCCATCACCCCCGTGTCGGCCCAGCACACCCATCGCTCATGCTTGTGGACCGTCACCCGGACCCCCGGTCCCTCGAGCTGGTGACCCAGCCCCGCCCACAGAGCCGTCCATCCATCCGCCCATCCCTCCGGAGCATGACTGTCTGGCTCTGTGGCCTGTGCTGCTTTCATCAGGCCCTGGTCTCCCTTCACTTCTCTCCTGGAAATCTGCCCCATCCCCAGGGGGTCGAGGGGTCCGTGCCACCCACGCCCGAGAGCCCCGGCCCTGCCCTGCCTTCCTGGGTGGCCCTGCCCCGTGGGGCTGTGAGCTTCCTGGGAGCAGGGACCCCAGCCGGCCCTGACTCCGTGCCCGGATCGTGGGGACCGTCCTTCTGTGCTTTTCTTTTTTAAAAAATAAATGGACCAGTGAAAGACCGGAACTCGAGCTTCCAGTTCTAGGTTTGGTGTTTTTTCTCGCGGTCGCTTCTGCCCCCTGCAGCTTCGGGCTGAGTCTTCACATGGCTCAGCAGGTGGTGTTGGTTAGGGGCCAGGTGGGCCGGGCCACCTCTGTCACCTCCTTCCCACGTCTGCTCTCAGCCGGTCCTTACCCTCCGAAGCCTCCGCTGCAGAGAAGCCTACCACCCCATCGCCCGCCGTCTGACGCATCAAGTAGTGTCTGTTGTTCAAACTGGAAGGAAGCCCGGCTGCGGGTCTGCGCGGGGCCTGGGCAGCTTGGGCCGCTCCCCGTCTCTGAGGGCCATGTTTGGGGGAAAGTCTCCAGGTGCGTGTAGAACGCCCTGAGCGAGCAGAGTGTGTACAGCGGGGGTTCCTGGCGGGAAGGTCAAGGGCAGAGCAGAGAAGACAGCCGGGCAGTTGCAGGAGAGGCCACGGACCCACCCACGTGCAGCCAGGGAGGTTTTGCTCAGTTTCTTGTTTGTCGCTGTCTGGGTTTAACCGCAGTCTCCTGAAAGAAAGCGTCCGCTCTCTCCAGCGCTGCGAGCTGAGGGGCCCTGGTACCTGTCACGAGGCCGACACGCCGAGGAAACAGCCCCACTTGAAGAGGGAAAGCAGCCTGCTCTGTGGGGAGCGGCCCCTGGGTTCGGGGGGACGACGGCGTCCACCCTGGCTGTGTCCCCAGGGCTCCCGTTTCCGACGCTGCCCAGTGACCCCGGGACGAGCAGGCAGGGGCGGCAGCTCACACACTAGGGGGGAATCCCAGCCAATGACTTCACAGTCATGGGCCAAAGTCAGCATGTTCCTAAAATGAGGTCAGTCATGACAGATCCTCGGGTCTGGAGGGTCTGTCTCTTCCCCTGAGATGTTTCTAGCTGGTCCCCAGGAGTGCCTGCGGTGGCACCGGGCCCCCTGCCCACCTGTTGCTCGGGGTGAGGGCCCTGGAGCTTCACCAGAGTCAGCCAGGGAGGCCCTGAGGGTGTCTATCCTGGGCCTAAAGCCCACCCGACACTCCCACCTGAAGGCTGAAGGGAGCCGGGACGGGGCGCCCTCTGTGGCTGGTGGGAGCCGGGACGGGGCACCTGCTGTGGTTGGCGGGAGCCGGGACGGGGCGCCCGCTGTGGCTGGTGGGAGCCGGGAAGGGGCGCCCGCTGTGGCTGAGGGGAGCTGGGACGGGGCACCCGCTGTGGCTGGCGGGAGCCAGGACGGGGCGCCCGCTGTGGCTGGTGGCGGCCGCTGCCCGTGGGCCTTCTGGAACCTTCCTGAGTTGGCTCAGTGGCGTGGCGGTGAGCGTGCATTGGAGGGGGACGGTGCACAGCTACGCATGTCAGGCTTGTGCAGGCGCTGTGATGCGCCTTCTCCTGGGAACTCCCGCGTCCCGGAGGTCGCTGTTAGTAAATTCCCAGTTTTACGGCCGCTCTCGCTGTTGCAGCAGGAGAACGAGGGACCGATGTTTTCATTTCTTTCCACGTTAAACCTTTAAACCTGCCGCCGCAGAGAGGCAGGGAATTGGCTGCCCCCCACCGGGCCCCCAGGGAGGGATGAGTCAGGGCTGGGCCGGGGCCTGTGGGGAGGGTTTGAAAGCCGCCCTTCTGCGCGGGCCTGAGCTCCTCACAGTGTGTCCCCTGAGCGAGCAGAGTGTGTACAGCGGGGGTTCCTGGCGGGAAGGTCAAGGGCAGAGCAGAGAAGACAGCCGGGCAGTTGCAGGAGAGGCCACGGACCCACCCACGTGCAGCCAGGGAGGTTTTGCTCAGTTTCTTGTTTGTCGCTGTCTGGGTTTAACCGCAGTCTCCTGAAAGAAAGCGTCCGCTCTCTCCAGCGCTGCGAGCTGAGGGGCCCTGGTACCTGTCACGAGGCCGACACGCCGAGGAAACAGCCCCACTTGAAGAGGGAAAGCAGCCTGCTCTGTGGGGAGCGGCCCCTGGGTTCGGGGGGACGACGGCGTCCACCCTGGCTGTGTCCCCAGGGCTCCCGTTTCCGACGCTGCCCAGTGACCCCGGGACGAGCAGGCAGGGGCGGCAGCTCACACACTAGGGGGGAATCCCAGCCAATGACTTCACAGTCATGGGCCAAAGTCAGCATGTTCCTAAAATGAGGTCAGTCATGACAGATCCTCGGGTCTGGAGGGTCTGTCTCTTCCCCTGAGATGTTTCTAGCTGGTCCCCAGGAGTGCCTGCGGTGGCACCGGGCCCCCTGCCCACCTGTTGCTCGGGGTGAGGGCCCTGGAGCTTCACCAGAGTCAGCCAGGGAGGCCCTGAGGGTGTCTATCCTGGGCCTAAAGCCCACCCGACACTCCCACCTGAAGGCTGAAGGGAGCCGGGACGGGGCGCCCTCTGTGGCTGGTGGGAGCCGGGACGGGGCACCTGCTGTGGTTGGCGGGAGCCGGGACGGGGCGCCCGCTGTGGCTGGTGGGAGCCGGGAAGGGGCGCCCGCTGTGGCTGAGGGGAGCTGGGACGGGGCACCCGCTGTGGCTGGCGGGAGCCAGGACGGGGCGCCCGCTGTGGCTGGTGGCGGCCGCTGCCCGTGGGCCTTCTGGAACCTTCCTGAGTTGGCTCAGTGGCGTGGCGGTGAGCGTGCATTGGAGGGGGACGGTGCACAGCTACGCATGTCAGGCTTGTGCAGGCGCTGTGATGCGCCTTCTCCTGGGAACTCCCGCGTCCCGGAGGTCGCTGTTAGTAAATTCCCAGTTTTACGGCCGCTCTCGCTGTTGCAGCAGGAGAACGAGGGACCGATGTTTTCATTTCTTTCCACGTTAAACCTTTAAACCTGCCGCCGCAGAGAGGCAGGGAATTGGCTGCCCCCCACCGGGCCCCCAGGGAGGGATGAGTCAGGGCTGGGCCGGGGCCTGTGGGGAGGGTTTGAAAGCCGCCCTTCTGCGCGGGCCTGAGCTCCTCACAGTGTGTCTGGTCTGCA